GACTATGACTATGACTACGACTACGACTACGACTACGACTACTATCACCACTGCTATCACGACTACCACTGCCGCTGCCACTGCCGCTGCCAACCTGCAACAACCACCACGACGTGTAAACAACTTCAATCCTGGTGAATGGCCACCCAACTGCTGAAAGGCACTTCACGGTTGTGGTCAACAAGATGGCGCGATGCACGAATGAGGAGCATGACAATATCTATACGGACGGACAGATTGACAATTGACACATCCGCCAAAGCAACCTCGGCAGGGCTGTCGGTCTTCACTGGCATTCCCATGATGTGATGGATGCCCTCCTTCACCTGAGCGTGAAACCATCTCCTTGCAAGTGCCTTTCTTTCGCAAACCCTTGCACGAACCGAGCACGCAACCTTGGGATCGTTCTGATGCTTGCCGAGCAAAGCATCGAACTGCTGGAAAGTGAGGCCGTACCTGGGCCCACATCTCTTCCAGCCCAATTACCCTTCACCATCAAGCTGATCGGCATTCGACAGAGATTGCGCTGGCTGCTTGTTGCTGTATGGACCCAAGATCGAGCTTCCGACCGCTCCAGAGGATCATCCGGCCTGGCTTCACTCTTCAGTCCAAGGCTACCTAGCTGCTACTTCAGAAAGATCAAAGCTCTTAGAACTCTTCAAACACCAAGCGAGCAAAGCTTGCTGCACTTGTTTCAGCCGCTTGTAGGTCTGGTCAAAACTCAGCTTCCTTGGTGCTTGTGGACACGAGCAGTACTCGCAAGTTCATGGGTAGTTATAAGTTGGGTAACTGTAGCTATAACCCATCTCAGCACACATGTAACCCCACGAAAATTCACTGAATTCTCACCAGTCGGTCTTGGGAGCATCAGCTAAACTTGGCATCCGGTTCACATTTCCAGCACCGGGGCAGCTGCTCAGTCATCAACTCTTTGGTCAGATTCTTCATGTGGCCCTGGCTTGCAGGGTGAGAACCCACAACTACCAGATTCATGTACGACCTCAACCGATGAAACATGCCACAGACCACAAGCATCTGCTCTTGCGAGGATACTATCTCGGAAAGGATCTGCTGCACCTGCACCAAGTCAGCATCGTGCTCCAAACCTCTCACGTAAATGCAAGCAGCTGCCTGTGCCAGCTCTCCTTCTGGGGTCAGCTTCTTCTCCTTCTTCTCCTGGACATGGCGTGAGCATGGCAGTGTGCCTGGGCACCTGCGAAGCAGCCTTCTCCTCGCCGTCTGCATCAGCAACCCTCGGTAAACTGCTCTTGTTCCGCTTCGAAACTCTGAAGCCCTTGAGGCTCTGGCTGCTTGTCTGCCTCTTCTCGTAAGAGGTAGTACAAGACGCAGCTGGCGCCTGAAGGAAGAGCTCTGTCTCTTGACCGAGTCTCAAAGCTTGGCATCTTGGCCTGCTGCACCTGCTGCTGCGAGCAGCAGCTTTTTCCATCCCTCCATACTCTCAAAGAGACGACGAGCCTGACGGCTGGCAAGTGTCAAGTGTCGGATATCGGACGGAAAAAAGCTTGCGGCCTCCAACTGAGAGCAACGGGGACAAGTCTACTTCACCCTACTCTACCCTGAGCATGCAGCCGAAAGGCACGGCGGACCAAGGTTCTAAGATTCTAAGCTCGACGACTCTGCACAAAACAATGCTGTCCCCATGTTGCTTCGCATTCGCTGGATTGACCCATCAACCAGAACATGTTTTGACTCGACCTCTCACATAACCCCCGAGGGAAAGGAGACCTCCATAAATCTCTGGAGAGATTCGCGAGCTCCAGCTCTTCACTAGCGCACATGAAGTGGCGCGGCTCTAGATGCAGCTCTGCTCTTCACGGCTGCTGACTGCTCAATCATGCGGGAGTAGATCCATCTCATCCGAAGAAAACCCGGTTAAGCTAGCGCAATCTTTTAAAACAAAAAAAGTACCACGTCAGCAAATCGGATGTTGATTCGGTGTCGCGCAGTAGACGCAGAACTGGCATCCAGAGCACACGACATGCGGAGGTGGTAGCCGCCGGGTACTAAGCCCTTGCAGCAGACAGGGTACATGCAAGAGCTGCATCGCTGATGCTTCACGACAGCTTCTAGCACCAGACGCAGAAGCTAATAAGGTGCACAGGGGCAAGGTGAACTGGCTGCAACACGATGGTTGACATCATGCAAGTCGCAGCATATCACTGCCAACATGCCATACTGCCGAAAGCTCTCAGACTTCAAAAGCCAATCATCTACAATCATGATCACCCATCTGGCTTGCGAACATATCTTTAGCTTTATTTGACTTGCCACTGCCCTTTAGTCTGAAAGCCTCCTGGATGGAGCCGCACGGCGGCTCGACAGCACCATTAACTCTGCCAGTGACCTCCATGCCGAGATAGTCGCCGTTTAATCGCTGCCCTCTTTCTACAAGTCACACGTTCTCCGGAAATGCCTTCACTTCATATAACCCCTTAAAGAAACAACTACGGAGCGGACTCAACATGAAGGCCAACATCGGTATACCACATGAGGATTAAGTTAGCATAAGGAGACCCCCCTTGGATCTCATTGCTCAACGCTTCGCGTTGCAGAGAAGGATCTAGAAGCTAGGAGTACCGGACGGGAAGCCTCTTCATCCAGACATACACCACAGACTCTCTGCCAACGGCCAGGACGTCAGTCAGAGCCGCCAGTCTTGGAGGAAAATGCCAAAAAAACAGACACGGCAGCTCTTCGACACAACAAGCTTTCTTGAACTTCATCAGTTTGAGGGCTCTCTGTCACTTTGCTTTGCTTCCATGCTGAATTTTTTGGGGACGTCAATGGCAGACTGCTCTCAGCAAGTGCTGAGGCTGTGAATGTGAAGATCACAACACATCAAGATGTTTGACTTTCGTTCGGATGTAGGTCTACGTGACCATCACCATGCGTCTGGAGAGAAGATGATTCCCAGAAAATCGGGCGTGGTCATAGGTCACAGCCCACACACCTCAAGCACTCAAGCCTTAGTCATGGTCAGTCAAGCACTCGGCACGCCCTCAAGTTAGCTTGAAACGCAACGGGGCATGTTCCCCTGAGTGCGGTGCAAACCATTCATGCTGCAGCGCTTCTTCAGCTGATGATGGCCTTGCAACAGTGGCGACCAAGTAGAGGCACTCCTACACCTGGACGCAGGATGATGCAAGAGGCAGGCTGGCCTTTTGCCTGGCTCAAAAGCCAAGAGCCATTGGCAGAAGCTGCAACACCTGTAGCTCGCAGATTGTCTTTTGCGCCTCGCTGCTTGCCTCGTGCTCAACGTTCAAAATTGGACGTGGATACGTTTATAGGCCGAACAGCCAGAACACGCATGCGCGTTTTACTTTGGCCAAATGACAGGTCATAGCTAAGGGCTAGCTACATCTTCAGCAAACAACACCCCCCGTGCATCTTAGAGCAAGGGCAAGAGGCGATGGGTACAGGCTGAAGGAAAGACTAGTCGCTGGACCGTCGTGTGTCATCGCGTTGCGACGACTGACGACAACAAAATATCAAACTCGCAAAAGAATTGTCCAGGCCATGTTTCAGCCTGCATGCTAGGTCAGTGTCTGCAACCGACCCATTAGGGTGGTGACGAGAGCCGACAACGTTGAAAGATCACCTCACTTCTAATGACACGGATACCTAAGCTTGATTCAGAGTACCGTCCCGGTAGAAAGGTGAATCATGTCTCGGCACAAGAAAATGCAAGCCATCAGCATTGGCGCTCTCGGCGTCCAGTGCGGTGGTTGTAGATTTCGTGCTGTCAACCGCTGAAGTACCATTGGACATCTGACATGCCGGTGAACCCATGCAGATACTCATGCGTAGGGATCATGCTGAGGCGAACACGGCCCACTGATAGGAATCCACTCTGTTCCATTCAGCCCGTCTCGCTAGAGTGGGGTCGATGATCTCACCAAAAACCAAGCTAAAGTTCGGGTACAGCAACCCTGCGGTTTGCAACTGTTCACAGAAGCTTACAGTGTTGAAGAACACACCGAATACTGGAGGATCAGCTGCACGCCGCCGATATGGTTCTGCCCACGCGCTAGCAGGGGGTATGAAATCGACCGTAGTATAGCATTCGTTGTTCCCGAGGCGACACCCTCGTCATCTCGAGGAGATAAAGCGGGGCATCGTAGAAGGTCGATGTTCCCTTGCCCTTGCCGTTTCCCTTTGGCTTGGGCAGCCTCACGTTAGCGAAGCGCTGTAGAGCCTGAAGGGTGTAGAAGCTCAAGCCTGATTTCGCGAAAGTGTGGGCCTGCATGGGATCGACACTCTTTCGCCCTTTGTGGCGTATTGTTGCACACTTGTCGGCCTGCTTCTGCTGGTTCAGAATCTTGGACCTGATCGTGGAGGCGGCGCTTTGGACTCGCTCGATTTGGTCATCGTCTTGGCCAGTGACTCGGACACGCTGTCGATGAGGGCCAGAAGAAGGTTGCACGATGTTTGTCACTGTTTGTCTGCCTACCCTGTCTCGCGGCATTTCTGCGGACTCGGTCCGGCTCGGCGTACGCCTGCCAAGTCTGTGATCTCTGCCAAGCGACGCTTGCAGCCCTGACACTCGATCATGCTGTCAAAGTAGTTGCTATTGCATTGGTTGCAAGAATATCCCCGAAAGCAATCAGCTCCTGGCGAATGGCTTTGCTGGCCAGACTGTGAGGCAGGTCCCCGTCTTACCATCTGCATCATCAGCTGCGGCGTCCTCAGTCTTCCGCGGCTTGACCTCGATGCCCTCGATCCTAGTCATGTGATTGGCAGCAATGATGAACGGGACCTTAATCTGGTCGGACAAAGAATCGTCCAACAAGTCGAGGAAGCAGTTGTCCTGACTGTACACCGACTCATGGGGATCAAAAGTGTAGTCCTGGGTGCCCTGTTTGTCCCAACGGCCCAGCGCCTTGTCTACGCGCAGGCGCAAACTCTGGTACACAAAGTTGATCCAGATAGGCTCGGCGGAGCCACGCTGGTGCGCGTAGACAAAATACCAATTAGACACCCAATCCGGGGTTTCAACGGCTCCAGAACGGGTGTCGAGGACCCTCAAACCGTCCCTTGATGCCATCTGCAGATCGATGACGAATTCAACGTCCGCCTTCTCGCGCAGCCCGGCATTGTCCTGACGCATCCACTCCGGACCCTTGCTCATCATGACAAAAGCTCTACTACCACTTTCGTGGAGCAACATACCTCCCGGCAACAAACCATATCGAACGATGTCGCGGAAGTTGCGCACGCGTGCGCCGTGGCAGGCAAGCTTGTATGGGAAATCGGTACAGGACGCGGAGTACACGTCGTGGGGCGTGATCTTTGGCCGAGTCGTTAGACTGGCGTCGCATTACACACCGGTGTGAACGGCCTCGTGCGTCGCCTTGACGTTCGTCGGATCAGATAAGAGCTCGCCCATGTGCCCGTGGACGGCACGAACCCGAAGGATGTCGAACTCGTTGTCATTCGCACGTCTGACGAAGACTTCATACCTAAAACTGACGTTGGGAGTGCGATCGCCGTACTCGGGTTTGTTGGTGAGAAACCTCGCAGGATGAACGTGCACTTGCCACTTGCCACCGAGCCTCCTCGACTTCTCCTCCGTCATGTACCTATGGCACTTGGCGAAGGGTGAAACATCGGCGCCCTTAAGCTAGTATTTGCCATCCCTTCCGGGAGGCAAAGCCTCTGCCTTCGCGATTGGCTTCGCTGCCGCTTTTGCTTCAGATGTTTTGGGGGTTTTGGGCATCTTCTTGGGCAGCGGTGGCTGCACCGGCTCTGACACTGGCTCTGATGGCGCCGCTGTACTAGCGGAGGACTTGCCCGGCACTTCCGCGGGGCACATGCGGCTTCCAGTGGATGAGGATGACGGCCTCGCCTGAGGCGGCGGCACCTTTGACGAAAGTTTCGTCATATCTCTTTGGGCATCGTCATCGCCGTCTCGAGCTGCCTCTCACGCATCATCTTCTACACACCAACGCTACCAAGCGCCAGCATGGAGTAGAAGGGAATCTTGCTCTTCTCCTCCTCGGTTAGGTCCTCAACCTTCTTGAGCATACGAGTGGATTCTGCAGCCTCTTTCGAGGTGCGATCACTGCCCAAGTCAAGGCCAAAGATCCCCAATTCACAGGAGTCGCATCTTGCTCTCCCTGGCCAGCTTTGGTTACAGCAACTGTCTTTGACCGCATGATAATAATGGACCCTCGCTCCGAGTTCGTCGTCAACCGCCGACAGACCGTGTTTTGTTTATGATCACTTTCACCTCAATTGGCCCGATTGCCGGCTCACGGTTCTGTCAACGAAGGACCTGACGGTAAAGCCAACGCCAGACACCGAGGAACCTCCAACGGCTCGCGACGATGACGAGCAGATCGCTCTGAACATTCCGCTGCTGGCGCCCAGTCAGAACCTCCTCCTGACGGAAGGAGAAGATGTTTCGGAGGTTGACAAGGCACTGCTTGACGCAATGCCAGGCTCGGAGAACGTTGTTCAAACGACGGAGGATCATAGCGTTCCTGCTGTTGCGGTCACCAAGCTCTAGTTGAGCCTGTACCACGCCACCGTGTACTTCAGGTTTTCGGCGGTAAAGCCGTAAACCCCGTACGGAAACTGCTCCTGGTGGAACGTTCTCTTGGTCATCACTCTGGCCCCGTTCATCTGCACGAGAGCAAGCGAGCTGTCTCCAACAACAATTGCAAACGACCTTTCGGTCGGCGGCGGAATCCTCTGCGTGAGCATAGCAGCCCACCCCAAAGACAAACTCTGAGCGCTGAGCGGGACAAGCTTGTGCTCGCCCAACCCTTCCGTCAGGAGGATGAATGGGTGGCCACACCCTCGTCTCATCATACGCCGACGCCGCTCTGCTCCTCCACCCGAGAAGCCCGAGAACCGCCATATCACGCAAAAAGTCGATGATCACCGAAACCCATCCCTCGCACCAGCGACGGTCTTGCCGTCCGTGACTTACACTCCGTTTTCGGCGCGCCAAAGCTCGTAGAGTGTGGTCCATCTCTCCGTGGGATACTCCTTTCGGGGATCGAGCCACTCACGCACGGGGATGCTCTGGCGCTCTCGTCATCTCCCTCCACAGGTTCTTTGATGAACTTCGAAATGTCACGAAAGGCTGTGGGCTTGGTAAGTCCGGCCAACGCGTCAGCGACGCGATCTGGATCCTGAAGGGCCAAGGCGAAACTCGTGAGCTCGCTCCTGGGCCTCCTCCCTGGAGGCCATCTCGTACTCAGGACCGAAAGAGGTCATCACGTCAGCAAGAGACGGAGATAGATAGGAGAGCGCTGAACGCTTGGGCGCTTGAGCTTTGATGGCTGCACAGCAGTTGAGTTGCCAACTTGGGGGCTTAATCTTCACGCAGTGCTCTGTGCAACTTTCAACGATCTTTTCACCAATCTGCAAAGAAAGGGGACTGTCGGAGCTTCGACACGTCTTGCGGTTGTCCCTATCCTTACACTGCAAATCGGCAAACGTAGATCGAATGCTTCCGACTGATGTGTTGACTCTACTGGAAACTCGTGCCATAAAACCATCAGGACCACTGTAGTGTACTCCACATGCATCGAACAACTGTTCCTCCAGTTTGTGGGACCTAATCATATTCTGGACCCGTTCGTTAGCCTGAAACGCACAATCCTTGTCAGCACTGACAACATAGTCTGCATTGAGTGCATCCAGACCAGCGGAGACGTCAACAAATGAAGCCCATGCTTTGTTGAATGATTGCTTGCCGAGATCATCTCTGAACATCCCTTCCGTTAGGATGGGGATGATGGGGAAGGCTTGTGATGTACTCTGAGAAGACGATGGTGTTCTTAACCAAACCAACACTGAAGCACCCGCTTTGCGAAACTTCCTAGCAGTGTTGAGCACATCTTTCCGTTTCAGGACGGAGCTGACGCTACGCCGACCTTCAATGATAACCCAACTGCAGGAGGGGTCCTTCTTCTTGCTTTTCTTTTTCCTCCTTTCACCGCTTGACTCCCTTCCACTGCCAGTGGTTGGAGCGCTTGGCTGGCCTTGAACGAAACAACATCTATCACCCTTATTGCAACGCAACGACCATGCTTGAAGAACTTGCATGCAACATTGGCACGACCTGGCGAAGGGCTCCCCCTTCCGGAGGGCGACTGTGCTCGTCTTTTAGCTTCCCGCCAGCGCTTGGCGTCCTACCACGTGACCTCTCCGGCACCTGATGCTTGTACTTACACTGATCTTTGTTGCACGAGCCATTGCGAACGAATTCGATACAGAAATCTCTAGGCACACGCTTTAGCGGCGCGGGAGCCGACGGCATGCCGGCCGACGCTTGCTTTGCAATCCGTTCCCGGTTGCGCTCAAGTCTGCATGCCTTGATGTATCGATTCGCGGCTTCGTACAGGGAAGTGAAAGATTTATCTTTTGATCCATCGAGAGCCCTTTCGTAGATTGCAATATCGTGAGAAAGCATTTTGGCCTTCGTGATCTGGCGATGAAAGAGGGGCTCCAGGACGTCGTCGCCAGGGGTTTTCTTCGTCCCTGAGACGAGGCTTGTGTCCCAATTGCGAATGAACTGCACGAGATTGTCGCTTATCATAACGACATTCAACAAATCCTCCATATCGTAGACAGAACCATGCAAAGCGTTAGTGGCTAGGCAGGCGTCGAGCTTAGACGATTCTCATGCCCTCATCTCTCTTTGAACGTGTCTATCTGTCGGGCGAAGTCGCCCTCCAACACATTCGTGATTGCGGCGAGGATTTTTTCGTCGAGAGTTGTGAACCCATTACGGTCACACAGCATCTCCTCTGTGGTGCCTTCTTCCCACACCTCCGAGAGCCATTCGAATGACTCGTCCGGTCGATCTGAGACACGCACAACAGCCTTTCGGACACGGAGACGCCAGTTCCTATAGTTTTCCTGTTGTGGGAACACAATTTTCTCGGCCTCCTTAACCCGAGGACGACCTCTCTTCTCTTCCTCATCCGTTCCTTCGTCCTTTTTTCTTCTTGGGCTTGGACACCTTCTTGAGCATTCTCAGCAAATTTCTTGGAAATCTCAATGGACGACGAAGAAGAACTACATGAATTACGTTTGTTCTTCTTATTATTGCTTTTTTTGGTCTTCTTCTTATGGCCTCCGTCACCGTCATCATCATCGTCGCCAGGATCATCGTCATCTGGTGGACCACCAGTGTTGCACCCATTCATGGGGGAGTGGCAATTGCATGATGTGACGGTGTCAACAGACCTGTAATCTGAGAGGCATTCATGGGCACAGAAGATAGCCCTCCTTCCGTCAGGCGATTCTTGAGCTCGGCGTTGTCACGCTCCAATTTTGTCATGTTGCCACTCTCAACCTGATGAAACTTCATGAGTTTGGTCATCTCTGCCCTCGGCTGGCTGAGCTGTCCTGACATAGAGTTGGCAGCGTTCTGAGCTTACGTTTTAGTTAGGTACTCAAACTCTCGCCCGCCAGAGGTTCTTTTTGCACCAGC